AACGATTTATTTATATTAGTGCTTCTCAGAAACCCGGGTCAAATTCTTCACCTTGCTTTACACATTTGAATTTTCATCTCGGGATTTTTTTAAACAATTTCGTTTATGAATTATGCATATGATTGACATTTTTCCTTAATTTCTCCCATGCCTAAATATCCAACCTTTAGATGTAAAATATTCCCCAGGGATCAAAATGCGTTCGTTTTGAAAATCAATACTACACGCTTTCCTTCTATTCATTTCATATTTCCCCATTCTGCAAACTTGCAGTTGTAATCATATTTTACTACCGTTATACTGTACGTATTTTGGACACTTTGTTCTGTCATCCATTCAAAAGAGCTCGATAATTTACTCACTATTTCTACATTCTTCCCTTTTTATTTCAATAAGTTCATTTTATCCTTGTAAGTTGTATTTCCACAATATGTGTCCCCAAAATGTCAGCTGTTTATTTCGGTTTGCAATTATCAGTTTCCATGTTTTTCCTGTTTTCCTGAAGACGTCCTCTTTGCTCGCATGTCTTCTCATGGAATATTTTAATGTTTGTCGGTAGAAGCATAACTGTTCTGTACTTCGTCTGTGAGGGAAATATTTTGGGATTTCATCCCAATAACGAAATAAAGTCACTGAGACGCAGGATGATACCGAGTGTTAAATTATATATAAAAAAACACTTTTAAGGAAAGTGAACAAAAAATAAAGAAGAGGAATCAAGAAGACTGAAGATTACTATTGGGATTGTATTTACATTTTTGAAGATCAAATTTGATTAAGAAATAATAAACAGGAAGTGATTTTCACAAGCGAGAAGTGCAGGAGAAGAAAGTGTTAGCATAAAACTTACGGTTAAATCTAGACATTTAATCTATGCAAGAGAAGAGATTTTCAGCATATAACTTACGTTTTCATCTAAACATTTCAACTGCAAAATAATGAGACCTACCCGCTAATCTTGAACTGCACTTAAATTCATAAAGTCTAGATATCAAAGAAGAAATGTCATCAGAACAATTATCATGAAAGTATTTATAGAAAGGCATAGAGAAGTTATGTTTCGACGCTGGGTGTGGGACTGAAACCAAGATACCAGTTCAGAATCAATAACGTAGCAGATTTTTCTTTGGATTTTAGCGTCAGAGATGGAGATAAAAAAGGAGAATAATTTAAGATTAATGTTTAACAAGAAAGAAATATCCTAATAAACAGATGCAGAGTTTGTTGGAAATGTATCGCATTTCTGAAATACGATATGTTTGACATGTCTAGTTCACTACCACAAATTCCACAAGAAAAATATAAGGAAAAGGAATTGGATGTGGTGACGTCTTTTCATTGGTCAGTGAATTGACGAATCAGCAGCTAGCTCGAAAGGAAGACCTCCTAATGAAATATGTAACTCCTCCTTGCAAGTTTCGTCAGAGAATACATTGGCTTGATAAAGAGCAGATGGAGGTAGGCGAGTTTTCTCATTTACAATTCACTGTAGAATGATCAGCAACATTTCCCTGCTGAACTCAATAAAATCGTTTGGCGCAGACAATTTTGCTTTGTGCCGTTTATCAATACAAGAAAAGATTTCGCCAGATGAATATATGCTGTTGACGTACAATGAGAATTCGAGACGGGGCTACTTTGGCCAGAAGACAGGTGCCACGAACCACTGCCACTGTGGTTCACCGAATGGAATTTCACACCACATAGGACGTCGTGATAATGCAACATATAGATTAAACAAATGCGGTCTCACATTGAAGGCTGACTTGAGATGGAACAAATACATTGAGTAAATTGCTTCGTCCACCGCAAGGAAAGCTGGCTCCCTGCGCCGCGCCAGGAAATTTTTCTCCCCGGAATCGATCCTCCAGATCTACAAATCAACAATTCACCCTTGCATAGAGTATTGCTGCCATATATGGTCTGGAGACCCTTCTGTTTGCATCGGGGTTCTTGATAGGCTCCAGAGGCGGATATGCAATATAATTGGCCCTGCTCTGGCATCTCGTCTACAGTCACTTTCTCACAGACGCGCCGTCGCCTCTCTCTGTCTGTTTTATAAATACTTTCATGGTAATTGCTCCGAGGAGCTGCATTCGCTGGTTCCAAGACTCCATGAGTTCAAGCACCTTACGAGGCTGTCATCCCGCTCTCACCCCTTCACTGTCAAAACTCCTAAATGTAGCCGTCTCTTCTACTCCAATAGCTTCATGTCTCGCACCTCTCGCCTGTGGAACTCCCTTCCCTATTCCAGTTTCCCTGAGAGCTATAATCTCCAGCTATTCAAATATAATGTCAATCGACATCTCCAGTTGCCTTGATCTATCCACTACCCTTCTCCTCATCCTTTCTTCTATCACTTCTATCTGATCTTGCTCCAATTTTTCTGTAATCCTTTGCGTCATAGTGGCTTCCCGCCTTGCTTGGGGTGAAACACTTAAAATATATATATATATATATTTTTTTTTTCTTTCACCTCTGTCTGTCTTTTTATTTTTACAGACTTCTTTGTCTATCCGCATGCAGGATTCTTTGTTCTATGTCGATATTAGAAATTGCTCGAACGTATTTCCCATGCAAATCAAGTTTTTCGAATAATTCAAGTGGATTTATGCGTCGTAACATATTAACCAATTTATATAACATTAGTTGAGGTGTTTTAGCATTTGTGCGCCTACAGATATAATTCTGACCAATAAGACAGCACTTCTGTTCTTGGCAAATTTGCGGTCTAATTCTAATGCGAGTTTATTAGAATCCTACATATATGTTTAGTTATGTGGCTCATTAAGCTGAATCTCCTCTGTACTTCATTTATAAATATTATGCAATAATTATATTTAAGTCATCGTTTGTATTGTTTCCACTGTAATATTTATTTACTAACAAATAAGCCTGATTGCTAATTACATAGGAACAATTATAGTGCATTGCATCTTGAGGTATTTTAACAAAGTAAATAAAAATTTAATTTTAATTCCGACCCACGGAATGATGATGTGAGAAATGATATACAATTAAAATTAAGATAAAATAAAAATAAAATTCTAGTCAAAAATGTATAATAATTTACAATGATTAAAAATGTAATTTGATGTAATGAATATGCATACACCTGGGTTCCCCCTCACAGTAATACAATTGGCTGGTGTCAGCCATAAATGCAGACTGATTTGGAGGTACAGGAACGACGTCTATTGACTACGCCTATTGCCTACCACTACGACGAGGACAAGTCCATTACGGTTACCTGCTAGTTTGTCCTACTTGTTTACAGTAGCCCAAAACCACTTTGCTACTTCGAACAAATATATCCCTTTCCGGGAGATATCTTTATTTATACTGGTATGATCGGGTTAAAGAAAAGTAATTAAGGGAAGCAATATAATTAGATTAAATGCCTATACAAGTTTAACAACAGTGATCTAATTGGTAAGACAACTACTACGAGAAATAGCGGCTTCCGAGAGGATGGAATCAACTTAGAATCCTGCTGGTAGTTCATTCTTTATTTCCATTATATGATATCCGTGGATAACGGATGATGGTACGGTAGACTAATGGAGAGCGGCTCGGATTGAGGAATCAGAGCTATGAATCCTCTTCTTCTCCCCCAGCTATGAGTAACTAACAGAGCAGACCGGGTCCTATATACTTGGATGGCTACTGATCTACCGCAGAAAGAAAGGGCAACCTACTGCGGTAAAAAATCTGCCTCGTCAGTCATGTATCGAAAGATACATGATCGCCTAAGCGTGTATCACGCATGGCATATAACTAACTAATTCTGCGAAGGGCTGCAGCATAATTACAAGTATTTATGAGGTGTGGTTCAATATAGCCTAACCCCACTCCAAATCCAGCCCGTGACGAGGATCAAAATTAAGGAGGAATTAATTGTAGAGTACAGAGGTCGGCAACCTACGGCACGCGTATCACAAATGGCACACCAATGGCACGCAGCCACAAATGGCACCACGAAGTTCGAACCAATAATTACTACAACGCAAAAAAATTTATTTAGGTGTTTCAATTTTAATATATACTAAAGTATATATATATACTATATATTACTATATAAAATATATTGTATAACAGGTATATTGATCTTGACTTATTTTAAATTACGTATGCTGTTTGCACACTGAATGATTTTAAAATCCTAATTCAGTTCATAGTTGAAAAAAGGTTGCCGACTCCTGAAATAGTCATTTACAAAACTTAGCTTACTGTTGCGCAAGTCTACAAATGAGCGGTACCAAGTTAGGATCGAACTCAATTAGCACTAGCCTAAAAGAAAGACACTATATTTAGCGTAACTGTAACGATTAACCATGAGTTAGATGCATACTGCAGTTACTAGTAAGAGTTGCAACCACTCGTAATAAATTGGACTTACAATATAAGTGTCATAGCAATTGGACTGATTCTGACGACAAAATCCTGAAATGATTATTACCAAGACAATTGTTTTAGATTTGGTTATATTCATTTGTGGCAATGACAATTCATTAAAGTTTGAGAAATGTCTTCATTTTCATCAAAAGGAATCGTTGAGATGAAATCAAATAAATGAATGGAAAATATAAAATCAAAAACGAGCCACTTTTGCTCAAATCGGATAGGAAAATGAGTTTCTTTAAAAGCAAGGGCCCAATGTTTCTGCCTTTATCTTACTTTGACAGACTTAAATAAATAAAGTGAAAATTTTCGCTTTAATTTTACGACTGATAAGCAGAAGAAATACTTCAGTCGATGTGTTTTTTTCTGATTTGAGTCTTAGGTATATAATTATAATATTAATTCTGACACAAAGCTTACATGTAGTAAACTACTGAATGGCTTGCCAGATTAATTTGCTATGCAGTTTTCGAAAGTAGTGATTCTTCAGGCACTCTGAAATCTTTATTTTACTCACAAATGGAAAAATTCTTTACATCCCTTCGCAAAAAAGACAAATTCACAGGTGCAAGTCTCAATCTAAAATTATATGTAGTTACACAAAATAGATAGATAGATAGATAGATAGATAGATAGATAGATAGATAGTGTTATGGGATCTTACCCATAATAATAATAATGGACTATTCCATACTTAATAAATACTGCGCCTCATCCGTAGGCAAGAAGTGAGTCGGTAGTTCAAGTCGAGTCAAGCGTCGGGTCAGAGGCAGTCCGAAACAGAGTGGCGTTCAGACAATTACTGAAAGAATTTGGAATAGTGATACTGGTCGAGACTACAAAACCTGATTGTTCATACTAACACTTCTACTTCTCTGTATATATTCCTGTTTGTAATATATCTGTGATCGCCTTCTTCTTTATTGGTTCTACCTTGGACTATCACCGTGGTACAAGGAACCGGACCATAACAGATAGATAATGAACCGTAAGTGACAGATAGATAGATAGATAGATAGATAGATAGATAGATAGATAGATAATGAACCGTAAGTGATAGATAGATAGATAGATAGATAGATAGATAGATAGATAGATAGATAGATAGATAATGAACCGTAAGGTAAAGTAAAGGTACCTATCAGCCATATAGAAAAGCCAACAACAAACATAGATAGATAGATAGATAATGAATCGTAAGTTATAGATAGATAGATAGATAGATAGATAGATAGATAGATAGATAGATAGATAGACATACAGATAGATAGATAGATAGATAGATAGATAGATAGATAGATAGATAGATAGATTGGACTGTGCAGATTTAGATAGTGATTGGACATACCGCGAAATATTTCTGACAAAGAGTCTATTCAACATTAAGTATTTATTTTATAAGGAGAATATATATACTTTTATATATATATCTAAATTTAATTAATTGAAGAAATTTTCAAATATGCGCGGGAATATGTACTTTTATTATGAATTAACAAATTTGTCGTTTCTCACTTGGTTCGAATAGTGATTGTAATTTTCACAGTGGCAAAATACTGTGACGTTCTCACCACTAGAATGTTACAGCTGCTTGGCATCTTCATGTGAATAACTTTTTTGTTTCCTGCATTAAGGGTTTTAGCAGGCTTCCTCCCCAGGGGCAAAAACGCTTTTCCCCAACTTGCATAATTGAACGGCTAATTTAATTTGAGTTGGATTTTCAATAATTTCAAATAAAGACTGCAGAAGATATGAAAATACAAAAAGAAAGAAAGAAAGAAAGAAAGCAAGAAAGAAAGAAAGAAAGAAGGAAAGAAAGGAAGGGGAAAAATTACAGAAGAAAGAGAGAAGGAATTAGGGTAAAATTGGGATGTAATGTAAAACTAAGGAGAGACAAATAGAAAAGCATCACAACCTTGGAATGAAAGATAAAACTAAAGAATTACTGAAAAAGAATTAAACAGAAAAGTAGAAAATTAACTGTAGAAATATCCTTAAAGAAATAAAGGTGTGAAGGATTCAGAACGCGGGAAAAAAAAACAACAAAAAAGACAAAAGAAAAAGGGAATGAAAGAGAAAAAGAAGGAAAGAAAAATGAATGAAAAATAGAGAAAGAAAGCAAACTAAGTAGAGTATATGATTAAAAATCTGACTGGCGAAAATGTGTTTAATATTTAAAATATCTGATGTCGAAAAGCATAAACATGGCTAAAAACATAGATTAATTCTAGTAGATGTTATTTGTAAATAGATTCGTAAACAAACGACATTGAACAAGGATAATACAAGAGAGAAAGGAAACTGTTAAAACACATTAAAGTAGAAAAGTTTATAGTAATAATTATGCAGAAATGTGTGCAGTAAAACTTCACTAGAATAAAAATGTCATTTATGATGAACTACGAAAAATAAACGACAAAATATATAGGCATCGGTAACAACAATCGTCTTATAATCCTAAGAAACTGGAATAGATTAAAACAGAAAAGACCAAAAAGTAATCACAGAAATATTCAAAAATAAAGGATCTGAAACAGACATACAAATAAAGCTAAAAGATGTAGATTTCATAGACGTCGCTCTCATCTACAGTAAAGGTACCTATCAGCCATATAGAAAAGCAAACAACAAACAGTTGCATATGTCATCTAAACACTCGCCAACAAATATCAAGCAGATCCCACAATCAATGAATTTTAAGGTTGTAAGACAATTCTATGAAGAAATTTATCTTTTTCGAGGCCAAAATAAAAAAAAGAAAAAGAAAAAAGGAAATATCTCGAAAAGGTAGTGAATATTTGGCAAGGCACACGTATACACCTCACACAAATGCTAACAAGAAAAAATACCATATGGCGTAACCTAACGTACAACGTAAACGTTAAAAGAAACGAAGGAAACATATTTAATAAATTCATTCACAAAAACAAAAAAAAATCAAACAGACTTCACAAGATATTTAATAGATGCATATTAAAAATCAGCTAAAGTTTTTTTTTAAAAAAAACAGAACAGAAATTGTAAAAATGCGCAATAAAAATAACAAAAAATCACCACACTAAACAAACCCACATTTATCTACAAAGAAAGGAATGAATGTTACTTAAACGGCTATTGCCTGTAAGTTAATATTATATACCAAGCTATGGTTAACACTGACCAAAAGAATACGCAGAAGCATCAGTCTATAATAATAGTTCCAAAAAGGGCAAACTCTGTCTGAAGTTGAAAATAGCAATAACTGCTTTCCCAATCAAAGAAATAAAAATAAAATATCAGAATTTTACAACACAGACAACATAATATATTTTAAACAATTGCCTGTAAGTTAATATTATATACCAAGCTATGGTTAACACTGACCAAAAGAATATATATATATATATATATATCGGAAAAAACTAAAGGTCACGTGAATCAGATAAAGAATACAATAGTAAATATACGAACAGCAAAACACGAAAATGATCATCGAAAAAATACGCAGAAGCATCAGTCTATAATAATAGTTCCAAAAAGGGCAAACTTTGTCTGGAGTTGAAAATAGCAATAACTGCTTTCCCAATCAAAGAAATAAAAATAAAATATGAGAATTATACAACACAGACAACATAATATATTTTAAACAAAACCAATATTTAAACTAAACTCGGCAGAAATTAATGAGCCCATTGAAATATCAAAGTAATCATCAGAGTTCTTATATCACTGTTCTTTATTGTGGATGAAAACAGATCTTCTACAGTTGGTTATTATATTTATCTCTTCAATGGAGATGTTAGAACATTTTTGGGCAAATTCCAAAGCCAGGATAAAGAGATCCTTGGAGATGGAAGGGTAAAAATCCACAATACCAAACTGAATAAAAGTGCAGCTGATTTTTTTACTAATACTTCTAAACCAAATAATGATATCTGTTCTGCCATTGATTACCAATTCTACGGGTCATGGCTCATTTATGGAAAATAATTTCTTAATTTTTTCTTCTTCGCTAAGTTAAAATGTAACGTAGGTAATATTTGATTGGTTGATCTGAGTAAAGCCAACAAAAAAGAAAATCGACTTTAATTTCATTTTTTGGTAAAAGAGGTTGCATTTTACTTTTAAATCTAAATAAATTGTTCAATCGCCAGCAATTTACAAACATTTGATGAGATGTATTTGATACGCATCGAAACACTACTGCAACTGTGCAGAGATTTTGACATGTTTTCTATGTAATATCCTAACAAATAATTTTGCTCTACTTTGCATTGAGCCCACTTTCAAATTAAATGTTACGAACGTTGGAATTGCACTCTATTCGTTCTCATCTTATTATATATATATATATATATATATATATATATATATATATATATATATATATATATATATATAACAGGATAATAAACAAGTAGGAAACAGAGCTCAATCTATCGTGTTTCCCTTTATTAAAACTTCGTCAGAGATCAATATGGAAATGACAAAAAATGATAAAAAGCAAAGAGACATACATTAATTTTATGTTTTTGTTTGGTTAGTTCTTTTTGATTAGATACATGTCACGTGTAATAACGTAACAGATAATATTCAAATATGCATGAGAAACATTCTAGACGCTAAAGTATTTTAAGGTTAGCGAGACGCAGCAGGATATTTTGAAAAATGTTTTAGATTGATTTTTCATTAAATCATAACTCGTACATATTTTGCATATATCTTCATAAATGTTTATGCATTAGAAAGAGATAAGTTAGATTCATGAATAATGGATTTGAAGTAAAATGGTGATGTAATGTTTTAAACCTGTCTCCATAGTTCGTATTGTTATTATAATTATTATTTTATATATATATAATAATGGACTCTCCCGTCGGTTTCGACGTATGAGGATCTGCCAGCTTACTGATTCAGTTATGAACGTTTATGCGCTAATCTTAAGTGGCATTTAGGACACGCTAGTGATTTACAAAGAAGGCCACATATGGAGGAAGTGTGAGGATTGTGAGATGAGATCACTGTTAGATTGGTTGACCTTTTAGTTCTTGCTGTGTGGATATGATCGAATCAAGGTAAACCGCCAGAAAACACACAGAAGTGATTTCATTACAGTAGTGAAGGCTTTTATATATATATATATATATATATATATATATATATATATATATATATATATATATATATATATATATATATATATATATAAGTGGACACTTAGTCTGCACCAAGAATTGAAATGGTCATGGTCTGAAGATAGTACTCAAGCTTAAAACAGAACTTTATATTTATATACGTTCTAAAACTATTATTGAGAACATTAAGTAATTTAAATTAAATTAACGATAGAATAAATAATTGTACGTAATTTTTAATTCAAGAAAATAATCGCAAATACATTTTTTAATGTCTGACATTTCCAACGAACCTATATTGTCTTGAAACTTTAGCATTTTTCTAAATTAAATCAACAGTCTTCATACTTTTATATATCTTGTTGTAAATATAATAATTTCGCGGCCAGCATTTGTGGGTAAAACCTATAAACAAGTTATGAGAATTAGAAACTGTACACGCTCAAGACATAGTAAAGCCCCCAAAAAAAAACCCAGAGGAAAACAGCTCAAAATCTAGCGTACAAAATTATGTAAATACTTGGCCGAATAAGGATTAGGATATATAGCCAAAGGACAGATTTTTACTAAAGTTTACAAAGAACAGAATGTTGTGGTGCGCCATGATCATCCATGACACGACACGACATGACATATAGAAAAAAATAGAAGCTTGTGTGAATATTCGTTTCTGTAGATTGATAGATATTTGATGATTAAATAATAAATAATAATTTCAACGGGAAACGACAAAAGGAGTTAATAAATAGTTATGTATATGTAGAATTCTCCTTTATATATTATATAAGTAGGATGATAGCTGAAAAAAAGAAAATAGATTTCATTCATGAACACATTCGTATAGCAAATACAAATAAAAAGAATGCAAAAACAAATAGTAAACTGGAACACGATTACAATCGAATTACGCAACAATACCATTATAGATTTCCCTTCAAATAATTGAGCAATGATATAATTGAATATGTAACCAAGTGCAACATTCATAATTTGTACCCTCCCCACCACACACACACACACAAAAAACTATGATATGACTAGAAAATAAAAATGGCTGAATATATATAATAAGAAAGTAAGATTTAAGCTAAATGATTTGGAGCGATTAAAACGAAGACCTAATTGAATTGTGTGCAAATTCATTTCTATAATAAGTGAATGTCAGTTTTATAAAACGGAGAAAATTAAGCAAAAAAAGTAAGCGGCATAAACCGTAAAAGAATTTCCTTACGGCGTAAATCCAGGGGAAGTTTGGGAGAAAAAGAGAAAGCATTAAAGAAAGAATTAATGGAAGAAAGAAATAATGAAACAAGCGGAACAATTGCTGAAAATTAGATGTAAATACTATCATTTTTATTTGATTTTATATATCATTTGTATTTTGGTTGCTAAATGATTAAAATGTTAATATACCAAGAATGTATTGACAAACAGAAACACATACGCCCACCAGACACACACACACACACACACACACACACACTATATATATATATATATATATATATATATATATATGGTAAACTCTCCCGTCGTTTTTCGACGTATGAGGGTCAAGCAACTCAGTTCCTAGGAAACGACAGACAGACAACCTGCTCATATGATTTGATTATCGCGATGAAGGCTTTGCACAGAACCAACCACACTTTTTCAAGAGACAAATACAGAGACCTTGTGCACCGTGTGTCACAACGACCCTCCGCGTTAAAGCAAATGTACGTGCTTTTTGAGTCATCGAAAAAAAATGAAATGAATTAACTTATACTTTG